GTCAAGTCTGATTTCAAACAGGGCCAAAACCCCCCAAAAACAAACAATGTAAAAATTATCTCCAAATGCCTATTTCAGTTTTGTGGGTTTCATTTATGGGATGAAAAGGGAGTGGGGGTCCCTGTTGACCCGTTGTGTGATGCCAACCTGTTTGGTATAGGTCCAGTATTTAGCAAATGATGGGATTGGCCACCATTGACCCCCTCTTCTCCCCTTTCCCCTTCCTCCCCAAAGGAATACAAGAGCAAGAGCTAACCTCTGTACACAGCTTCTTTTTTTTTTTTTTTTTTTTTTTTTTGGACCATTTCTCGATTTATGCGTGTCATCCTTGCGCAGGGGCCATGCTAATCTTCTCTGTATCGTTCCAATTTTAACGGATGTCCCGAAGGACACTGTCTGTACACAGCTTCTATGCACTCTTTTTTCTTTATTTTTTCCTGTATCAACCGTCGAATCAATCGAAACACTATTTTTTTCCTAGCAGTTCCCGAAGTGTGCTTACATCCTGTCAATGTGCATCGCATGTGTGTGAGGCCTTGTGTGATGAAGTGTGAACTCTTTTTTTTTTGTGTGTGTGAACTCTTGATGTTGTGAAGCAAGTAGTGTTTTTTTTTTTTTTTTTTTTTTTTTTTTTTTTTTTTTTTTTTTTTTTTTTTTTTTTTTTTTTTTTAACCAAGGCTCCTTCTATTCCGGGGAGAAGCAGTCCGGTTCCTTCTCCACCGGCAAGACACGCGAATATAAATTATATTCACACAAACGCTCCTCCCCATTATGGCCGGGAGGTGCCAGTGGACAGCATTGATTACTTCCCTTGGGAAGGGTCCACCCCTCACCCCTGCCTGAGTTAGTCTCATGATCTTAAACCACCAGTACTTCCTAAGGCCGTGCCCATTAACGAGCCACAATTTTAGGAAACGTACGGTCCACTACAGGAGCACCCAAATTCATCCTACTGGAAAGGCTTCTGCTGTATTTTTTTCCGCCGCCAATAGCTGGGCCAAGTACGGGTGGTTTAAAACAATCAACCAGTTCCCTCTAGCCCGGTCTTGTACTAGCACACTTCTAGCCCCCTCTTCCTGAGCACCGATTCAGCACTAGAAGGTGCTGCCCTCCGGCATACCCCGGGGGGTTGTGCGCCGAGCCCTGGATGACTCCTTGGTCTACCAGCCAAACAACCGGGTTTCTGCGCTCACATGGTTGCTCTGGTAGAACCTGCTACTCCCGCGTGCTCTGGGTCGACCCTATGTGGTTCTGTGATTAGGCAGCTGCTATGCTGGCCTCTGACCCTGCTTCCCCGCTCGGTTCGGACCGGGTGTCCTCCCATTGGCCCTCGGCGTCACCAAACTGCGTACCTGGCGTCCATGCACACCTAAAGCCGGGCCCCCTCAATGCTGCCGAGACGCCCGTTTCGCAGGGTGTCCCTCGTGAATTTGTCCAACATTTCCCTCCTTTTCTCTGCTTCCTGCTTAATTAGCTTCACCGTTTTCCGCCAGTTTGCTTGATATTTTGTGTCCAACAGCGTTTTTCTTTTAGATCCTCCCAAGCTTTCTCGGGTGTTACCTCCTGGCCCTCAATGGTTTCTTTACATGTTCTTTTCCAGATTACACAGAGCGTGACGGGCCGAAGCTTTCCAAAGAAGTTGTGAGCCCACTTCTGCAGGTTGTCTGATCGTTGTTGGACCCCTGTGAGGAGGGTGAGGGTGTCGCCTGTCCACTTGCCGCCGGTGGTCTGCTACCAGAGTTCCCTGGTACGGCTCCACAACTGTTCCGCTTTGGGGCAGAGCACCATGCAGTGGGTGATATTCTCCACCGCTCCCTCCTCAGGAAAACACTATTTACTCTCACCACCTCAATGGAAAGAACCATTTGCTCTCGCCACCTCAATGAGAAACACTACTTTCTTTTTTTTTTTTTGTTTTTCCAACTACGCTATATTTGTGAGGATTTTACCCCTCGGCATACTTGCGTAAGGCCCCGGCAGCAAGCATGTGCCCGTCTTAAGTGAAGGCGGGCCCCCAAATCTCAATGAGCCCTGAATACGCCAAGTTTCGCAAATCTTGTCGGCCGCCAGACAGTTTCCACACGCCAGCTGGTTACATCCGCCCTGCTCGTGAGAATCTGAAATATTTGTGAGCCTTCCAGGCTCTTCCAGCAACATGGTGAAAGCAGGGAACACCGCAGGTTTGCACCTGGGGGATTGGGGATTCCTAACCAATTCGGTCCCAGGCCACTGTCTGAACGGGCCTGGGCGCAGACACTTTGGCCGAGACTGAAGCTACTGGAAACTCGGTCTCACAGGGGCAAGCCAGAGGCAAAGAGCCCGCCACTTTCCATATAGGAAAGGGCCGGGCTGCGTACGGGGGATTTGGGCACTAGGCAGTGCATGCGGCAGCGCTGCTTGAGCGCGCGCTAGCAGGCTGTATGCTGTGCGCTAGCGCTAGGTGCCGGGCAGTGCGCGCGGGCGCTGGAAGAAGACCGGGCGCTGCAAGAAGGCAGCGCCATAGCCAAACCCTCCATAGCTGGGCTTGGCTTGGAAGATAGTCAGCGGGTGGTGGTGGTCTTCGTGTTCAGGGAAGACTTGGGTGAAGAAGTCGAGGGTGAGCTAGAGAGGGAGAGATGAGGATGATGACGTGAGGGCACGTACCAGGTCTTGGCGATGATCTACATGGTCGACATCTGCATGTACTCGGTTGCTGCTGCTGACGTCAACAGGTTGCATTGTCAATTCGTAGGCTGGGTAGTAGCTGTGTGATCGTAGTCTGGGCGCTAAGCGCCAAGTAGGAGGAAGGGCTCTGGATGCATACGTTGGTGGTTGCGAGAGTATGCTCTCATTGACATCTGGATTTGGTGCTTTGGTTCTCCGTTGGTGGAATATCAGTGCATATCTGCTTTCTGGACAGCGTTGGACTTTGTGGCTTTCAATGTGATTTTGCATTCTGGAATTTTGTCATTTCGCTATTGCTCATGTTCCTTGCATATTCTTCTCTCAAATCTTTCATTAAAAAAAAAGAAGGAAAAAGAGAATCACTACTTGACCGACGAGTCTAGCTCAGTTAATACACCCATAGGAGGATATGTTTCTTGGCTCTCTGATCCTTGTCTTTTTCATGTTTGCCGGTGATAAGCAACCGGACTGGTTCCCCCCAGAATGTGGTTCCCCTCAGAATGTACAGGGTGCAATGAACCCAGTCTGGAGAGAAACTTGTCAATGTCAAAGTTCAAGATGTCTCCGTAATACTGTAATGATAATAAAAGGGCCTGAAAGGCCGTCCTGTCCAGATTTGACAGGTAATTGGATTGGTTGGGCTTAAAAGAATTAGCCTTAAACCACCACCACCTTTCCAAGCTGTAGTCCCAAGTGGTACTATAACCTATGCCGCAATTTTTGGGGTGTGACGGAGGGTCGGCCTCCAAATACCGAAAAAAGAAAAAAATTGAAACGGAACCACCCCCACGCCAGGCTCCGCAAAAATCGCCGTGCAGGTTCAGCAAAAAGCGTCTCGGAGGTAGTGGTGGTTAAAAAAAAAAAAAAAAAACGCTGCTTGGTTTCACCACTACCTCCAAGCCCGTTTTTCCTATGGCTGTTTTGTCTTCCACCACTACCTCCAAGCCTCTTTTGCCCATGGCAGATTTTTTTCTGGGGGCCAAGTCCAAAATGAACAAGCTTGGCGCTCCTCCGTTTTTTATGGTTTAAAACCGCTCAACTTCCACCGGGGTCTACTGTCTGGGGCTCAGGGGTGATATGAGCACCCCCCAGCAGTATCCCCTGTTAGAGACTTCCCATCTGTTGGTGGGGACCAGCACCTGCTGGAAAACAGGTCCAGCCTCCCGTGAACATACAGAATGCGGATGTAGGTCATGGACCAAGTTGTTGCAAAAGTTTGCCTGGGAGAGGTAGTGGTGGTTTAAGCGGTAGCCAATGGCGATAATCTAATAGGTCCACCAGGTACACTGCTCTTGTTGCACACTGTTTCTGATGTACACGCTCTTGATGTACATCGCTTTCACCAATTTGTTTTTTTCTTAAAAACAACAAACAAACACGACGGTCTTAAGATACAGTCATTGAACTGACTGGCCTAGGGGATTCAGAATTATTTGATTCTGTTCATCTGGTTGCATCTGGATCCAAACTTGCGTCTGTGCTTCAACAGTTCATGGGTGTACCAAGTTACTACCAACTGAGCTACTAGGCCTGTTGGGTAGACGGTAGACCACCATTTTAAAAAAATAAATAAATAAACCACCACTACCTTGCCCCTATGTCGGCCGCGGGCATCTAGTAGCCTACTCCTGAAAAATAGCCGCCACACTGCCGTCCATATTTTTCATCGACGGTGTGTGGCGGCCGAATTTGAATTTGAGGGCCGGGGCCCCACATATGAGAAAGGTAGTGGTGGTTTAACAAGAGGCTCCATCAATATATTGGTGGGGAGCGTCACCTGCCGGAAACGGGTCCAGCGTCCCTTGTTTCCAGAATGATTCTGGAGTATTTGTTCCGGCGAACTGCTAAAGACTTGACCTCAACTGTCCTTTTATGATGATTGCAAGGTTGAGTGTGTGTACCACTCTATGGGCCCAGAGTCCCAGACCCAATAACAACATTCCACAGCTAGTCTGGCCTGTGTGCTGGACCTCGTACGTTCAGAGTCTTCAGACTGATCCAACATTTTGAATGTATCAGGACTGCTACCAGCTCCGGATGCATTTAAAATGTTGTTCGGTGGAGCAAGGCCCAATGCATTTTTGTGAAAGGAAGGGCATCAAATAAGACTATGCAAAAGGAAAAATAGTTTGGCCTTCTGATGGCTCTTTCTTGATTCTATGGGTGGCGAATCTGGTGATGCATGGCCGTTCTTAGCTGGTGGAATGATTTGTCTGGTTAATTCCGTTAAAAGAAGCAGACCTCAGCCTGCTAAATAGCTGCACGGGGAAAAAATAAAAATAAAATGCCAGCCCACTTGTGCCAACTGGCTCTTTTTGTCTTTTTTATGATGACAGGGTACAGATAGGATCAACGAACCTGGCCTCCGGAACTTGAGGACGGTGCGAACTCTAGAAGAGGGAATGGTAAGGTCAAGGCCTCCCCCAACCATTCTATTTGAGTGTAATTTACTGCTTTTTTTTTTCCTTTCTTTCTTGAAGTTTCTTCTTCTTCTTCTTCTTCTTCTTCTTCTTCTTCTTGTTTTTTTAAGACAACATCGACAAGACGCAGACAATTACAAAATGAACTTAACTTCTGTAAGTTGATTTCTTTTCCTTCTTGTTTTACTGCTTTTTTCTTTCTTTCTTTCTTCCTTGAAGTTTCTTCTTCTTCTTCTTCTTCTTCTTCTTCTTCTTCTTCTTCTTCTTCTTCTTTAAGACAACGTCAACAAGACTCAGACAATTACAAAATGAACTTAACTTCTGTAAGTTGATTTTTTTTTCCTTCTTGTTTATTGAACTTTTCTGTGTAATTTGAAATTTGTAAGTCTTCTTTATTTTGGACGAGGCAAAAGCACGATGCTGGAGCGACTTTGTGTTGCTTGATGAAAATTTACTTTCAGAAAGCCTATCTGGAGCGGACGGGAAGATTTGGTCGGTAGGCAAACCCGAGGGTGTAGCATGCTGCATACCTCAGGGATTGAAAGCCGTGCTCATTATCTTCTACGTGAAGGTGTGCGTTCTATTTCAGTATAATTAAGTGGTGTGATTTGAAATTTCGTGACCCCGACTTTTTCTTTGTTTCTTTAGAAGGGCGACGACCTTGAGATATAATCATTGAACTGACCGGCCCTGTAGGTAATTCAGAAGAATGTTACGTAACTTACTTTGTTAATTTGACTGCATCTGGAATCGAACTTGGGTCTGTATTTCAACAACTCATTCGGTGTACCAACTTCTTGTTTATTGAACTTTTCTGTGTAATTTACTAATTTGAAATTTCTGTGTCTCCTTCATTTTGGACGAGGCAGCGGGGCGATACTGAAGCGATGTTGTGATTGCTCCAGCTCTTCGCTTGCACATTGTGTCCTTCACAAAAGTAAAGCCTCACATAGGGCCTTGCTCCACTACTCACCAATTGGACAAAATGGGAATGAAATGAAACTTCGGCTAGAACATGGGAATATACGCCGCCATATTTCATCAATTTTTAATAATATTTTATGTCTTTTGTGCATGTGGTGAGTCTTGGAGCGAGGCCCATAATGTGATATTTTCTTTCCATGTGAACTATTATGAAGTATGTTTTCTCTTTTCATATTTTTTGTTATTGGGTACCTGAACATGCTTCCCATTATTTGGAACTTTTTTTTAGCTTACATAAGATATTGATTCCTCTTTCCTTTTTTCCTCTTTTTCTTTTTTCCTTTTTGTTTTTAATACAAAAAGACTCTGCTCATGTTATTAACGCACACCAGGAGGCCGGGAATCCCTCCACGCACACCAGGACCAACCGACACGTGGCACTCGCGCGCGAGAGCGGAGAGAGGGAACAGTCGGCAACGATTCCCCACACTATGCGTCGCGCAGGGATTCGACAAGGATCGGGGAGAACGAGGGGAAATCAACACACTCATGCATACAGGCAGACGTTTGATACCCAACACGCCCCAGGGCCGCACCTTCGTGCGCCTTACCACCCCCGACTTCATTCCACATCCGTGCATCCTGGACAGCAAAGCATTCAACATCCATACACCCTCCCAACCAACATCATGCATGCGACTAAGCATCCACACTTAGTCTACCGCACACACAACACTTGGACAAAGCAGCAATGGAGAAAAGAGTGAGTCCCTCGCCATTCAAAATTCCACAAGCCGGCCTCTCTCTGGCACGGCCCCCAACCAACCCAAACGTCAACCAACCATAGCCACAAGGCCCTGTTGCTGGCTACGTTCTATCTCCACCACCGCTCAGTCCCTCCGGCTACACATAACCCCAAGTCTACCACTAATCCCACCTTACGTTGTCACTCCGCCCGTCACTTGGGCACGTCGAGCCTGTTCGACGCTGTGGTCTTCGCGCATAGCTCGTGCAGCATTGCAGCCGAGAGCAAAGAGGAGGAGAGGAAGGGGCTGCAAGAATGTATAGCGCGGAAGGCGGCGGGGTGCCAGCGTGTGGTGCAGGCAGCAAGGGGTGTAGATGAGCAGGAGAGAGGAAGAGAGGAGGTTCCAGAAGGATCGAAGGAGGCGGGGCGATCAGCACCTCTCGTTCAATTGGGATGGTAGTCCAAGCCGCGTGCGCAAGTTCACTTTCGCGGCATTGATCCGGCCATCCCAATTAACGACCAATTGACCACCCTGAAAGGTAAGAGGAGGATCGAGCGCAGAGTCAGGGGAAGACGAAAGGAAATGCAAGGAGAAGCGCTCAGCCGGAGGGGAAGGTGGCGCTCACGCGCAGAGCAGGAACCAAGCTTACGCGACATGGAAGAATTCAAAAATGGCCGCGCACACTTTAACACGAGGAAAATTTGAATGCCGACAACCATAATTCCTAATTGTTTCTTGGATTTCTTTGCGTGGTCACTAACCGTCCGCGCGGAGAACTAATTTGAACGGGGACAGGGGCGATTTCGAAAGATGCATGCCTTTAGTTCCCCCAAAATGAAAAATGGACCCTGCTTTTCTTGATCAGCTAAGATCCGTCCTTTGGGGCTTACTTCGGATTTCACTCTGAAGGGTACGTGAAGCCGCAAAGCACGGATCCCAGCTTATCACAGGCCACAGTCAGGTTTAGGCTGCCAGATGCGAAGTGGTACTGGAGGGATGCACAAAAGTGTCCGAACTTCAATTATTTTTAGTTTTCATCACCATTGACAAAAAAATCCCCCCAAAAAACGTGGGCGTACTGTAGGATCTGCTGTGTAAGGGAAAAATATTTGGAAGGAAAAAAAGGGCTGCAGAAAAATATTTTGACACACGCATTTGGTGGTCTATCGTTGCTTGGAAGGCCAGGGTCATTGTAAACTCAGGTTCAACAAAATGGGTTCCCACTTAAACCACCAGTACCTTTCCCCGCTTGGGATCTGGGGCGCGGCGGTTAACGTGGAGGCCCGATTCGGTCTCTGACGCCGACCAGATCCATCGGCCACACTTGGCATGCAGCACCTGCAGCTGATGTATGAGAAAGGTATTGGCGGTTTAACTGGCGGTGTGTGACAACCTCAACAATGATACTTCACCACTTGAACCTACTTTATTTTCCACTTTCTAGATCTTTGCAACCCGATGAAAGAAAGAGTTTCCTAAAGAGTTTCCCATAACTTCCCCTAGTAAGCCGAGTTTTCAGCCGACTGACTGGTCTTCTGCTATCTCATGTTCTTTCTCTTAAAAAAAAAAAAAAAAAAAAAAAAAAGTCCAGGTTGTTGTCCTGGTCTCACTTTTTTCCACCCCTGGGCCCCTTCCGCCCGCCCCCGCGGCTCCCTGGTGTAATTCCTCCATGCCAGTTGCTGGCTTCTTGGTGCGGCCAGATGCTCCCGATTGGTAAGCCCATTGCTACATGTTAAAACGGTCACTAATAGGGATTGGAACCCACTGCTAATGAGGAAATCCATTGCCGATTGAGTACCAGTGAGGTCATACCCACACTACTGTAGGACCTTTATGAGAAAGCTCTGCATGTGATCGCGGCCAGTTACACCCAGGTGCAGTCGTAAATTCTTGTAATTACAGTCAGATACATTCAGAAAAGTAGGCCCAGAAACAGGTGGTTGCGCATACCCACACTACTGTAGGACCTTAAGGAATAAGCTCTGCACGTGATT